CGAGAGGCACACTTGTACTCTGGTTCCCGTTTGTTTCGGGGTATTCGATATCAGCTCGTTCCTGTACGTCTCTAATATTCTCAGATCTATCTACGCAAAATAGTGAAATAGGTTAAATCGATAAATGCAGACAGTGCATGTATGTTTCAAGTTATGCGTTGCGGCTAGCTCAGAGCTGATCATACCTTCAATTCTCGGAGCCTTTTCGATCGCTGCATCCTTCTCCTAGGCAATGGATTTTCGCTTTCTCGTGATCATAATCTAGACAGTGTGTGTACGAAGCCCTAGGAATATCTGGCTTAGACTGGGTCGCTATGTAAGCGCAAGGCAACTCCGTTTATATGAGAGATGCAGGCAAAAAATAAATAGAGATTATCATATTGTATGTGTTTGTGTTTCTGCACTTTCAGAAAATTACACTCTTTATGGGCCCCAGGCCCCCAGTGCATGTGTGTAAAATTTCGACTGTTCTTATTTTTTTAATATGTCTATATATATATATATTTGGCGGGAGCGGGAGGTGTGATGGAAGGCAGGGAAGGGGGGGGGAGGGGTGTTGCGGGACCAAAAACCCAAATAAAACCCAAGTTACAGTAATCAGAAAACGTACCGTCGGACCCCAGTAAATGCATATTACTATTAACTACCCCACATGGGGTAGTGGATAGTGGGGTACCTCTTATATGTATATATTCATGAATGTATATATTGTATTTTGTATGCATGTATCATGTATGCATATATTGTATTGTAAGTATATATTCGATAAACACTCTTTGTTACAGGTATTACTGGTATATTTTTTGTTGTTGAACTAATGTAACTCTTGGTACCGGGGATCAACAGTTCATGTCAAATTGCTACTTTTGGGCAGGATGATGGATGCCTTTAGATTTGGGTACAGTGGTCTACAAATTTAGTCCACATTGCGAGCTTCCTTTGTATACGACTACCTATCATCTTTATACAAGCAGCCAATTAATATTCCAATGAAGGTGTAGCAATAGGGATGTCGGGCGCATTCACTGCTTTCCTGTAGTCGTCGCTCTCTCTCGACATTCATGGGCATCTTCTTCATACCATAATTGATATACAGCTTTAACAAACCAATGGATGTCACGATATCTCTGTTATCTCTTCTTGTAAAAGCCGGGCCTCCACATTAGAATCTTGTAATATAAACGTACTCTTAATAGTACGTAAACTTAGTTTTCCTTTAATAGTTTTTAACCGTTTTTATTAATTAAATACCTTTTCCATTTTTACACATCAAATATTTGGACAAGGCCATTAAAAAGCCCCAGTAAAATACCAAATATAAGATTTAGTTTAGTTCAATTAATAGAACTATATTTACCTTCCAAATCTATTTATATCTGAATACTTCGGTAGCGAGATGGCTCAACCGAACGTAGGGTTCTAAGGTCTATTAACGTTGCTTAGATTATACTCCGTTCAGCCAACCAGATGTGCCAGTCTGATGAAGGTTAGTCGGCAATTCTTGATAAGTGGCAAGTTATCATTTAATGCAATAACTAAGGACATCAAGAGTTCTTTTTTTCTCTTCTTTTTTTCTTCTAAACATAGGATTTTATGAGTCTCTCGGATTCGCCCCAACGAAATATACCATAGCTTCTAATAGAGCGACAACGAATCACTAAATAAAATCCCTTCGGCGAAAACAGTACTAAGAGGATTATATAGGCAATGTCTCAGCCTCACAATCCCTAAGAGTATTGCTGTTTTCACGAGGCATACTTATCTTTACTAAAAGACTCATTTCGTTAATTTATTTTAAACTTTAATATAATTAGACTTAACTTAAGCGGCTATTTAATCTAAGACGTCAATATCGCCTTAATAGACCAAAACTTACACATTTTAAAGTTAGCAAAGTAACTACTTAGACTACTTAAACGTAAAGGTAGATAATTACCACGAAATTTTTCTTAAGCATAGTCACTCCTTAAGAGAATAAGACTGAAGTCATAAGTTAAGATTATGACAAAGAAGGACAATACACCTGCAAAGAAACGCAAGGCCGAACGTAAGAAGATGGAGAGAGAATCCGCTAGCACTGCCGCAGAAGCAACCGCCGCTGCTGCCGATGCGTTTAACCGCACCGTAGCCGAAGCATTTGTCTCCGACAATAATAGTCGGGACAATGCTCCGGATAAGGATGTAGCCACTCCGATTAAGTAGACTACTCCTACAGATAGAGCACGAGGACCAACTATTGCTTCAACTTCGAAGCTCGCATTTACGAAGCCAAGAAGTGAGACAAGGGACACGTCTCAAGACGCCCCAACCAATTCTTCTGATGAAACTCAGGAAGAAAAGACCCCAATTATAGGGGACAAAGAAGGTACCTACACCAGAACCAGGAGAGGAGGCAAGCTCAAGTGGCAAACCCGAATCTACGTCCGAGGCCACTGAGCCAACGCGCATAAGTAAGTTAACGACTGAAAACACTGATCTTAAGAATCAGTTAGCCGCTCTTAAGCAAGGCATGTATGTTGAACATGTAGATCGAGTGTATGGATCAGGAAAGCAGGCACAGCACTTACGCGAGCATGTTTCTCCGGGCACTACTGAAGCCCTACATAAGTGGACAGAACGTCGACTGGTGATAACTCCCGAAAAGCGTAAGGACCTGAGCACCAAACCCGTGGCAGTAGACTCGGATGTGCTCAGCGTATCTATACCTTACAAGGAACTACCACCGGAGGTCCAGGATCTTTATTTGCCTGAACTTTCACCCGGCCATGAGTCGCCTATCATTGAGGGTATTATAGACCCAGAGGCAGGTAAAAATACTGCGCCACCTTTACCCAACTGGGACGACAATCGTTGGAAACCAATTAAAACTGGGTATGTCATCCAGACGCATGAATCACCCAAGATTATAATACCAAAAACTATCCAAGGAACAGAGCACCGAAGGGCCTCTACCATGGACTTTACCCGGGGTAGTAGAACCCCGCGTACGCGAATTAATGAAGTCGAGTTTAATCGCTTCGATCGCACCGCTCTGCATCAACCCGCAGAGGATTTTCACTCTGATGAAGTGACCGAACTTAATAAATCGGTCAACGATTACACACGTAAGATGGAAATCGCTCATGAAGAACATCGTGGAGAAGACGTATCATATTATGCTAATATGATCGCGATCAAGCAGAAGCGCATCGATCAGCTACTTCAGGCCCAACGTGGTCAAGACCACCGGAACAATCATAAGTATAAGGGACTGATTAGTCTACTTAAGTCGAACTGGGATGCTAACAGCAAGCAGGTCGAGTTTATTAATAACCACGACCACGACCACGACACACTAACACGGTTATGCTGGAGACGAACGATATCGCTCCCCAGCAGTGGATCTCTGCATTAATGCAGTCATTCGACCCTACAGGAACAAGTTACTTGATCCTGCAGCGCCACCAACACGAGCTAGACGTCTGTGGTGACTGGCCAGCTGTGTGTTGGTTAGTCACATCCTTATTAAGCAATGACATGTGCAGTCCAGGACTGAGTTCAATCTTAACTGAACCAGGTGAGAATACTCCTATTCAGAGTTACATTCTGAAACTTGATGCTGACCTTAAACGTCCAGATATAACAAAGGACAAGGCTCAGCGATGGTACGAGTTTCTGGTTATGCATGTTTTCTGTAAGAACATAGGGAACAACGACCGTGAAAGTCTGTACACCGAGTTGCGACGTAAGTACGCAACTGAGGCTCGAGACAAGGGACATGAAACAAAGTTTCATCTATCCCGACTTACGTGGGAACAGTTTTATGAAACTGTATCCACTCTTTACCCCGTACACCGAGTAACCTCGAAGGGAAATATGGTGAATAAGAAACCACGCGAGCTCCCTGATCAAGGATACCTCTCACGCCAGACGTCAGATGATAAGCCTCATCAGACGCGTCCTAACCAGACACGTGCTCGCGACTCTACTCAATCAACGCGACCCAATAAACGGGCACGCGCGGAGCCGCAGAACAAGGAACCTCCATATAAGGAGATTAAGAAATGTGCCGACGCACAGTGTGGGTATGACATGTACCAATTGACCCCTGACGGTTATTGGAACGGAAGACATGCACCCACCTGTACACACTTTCTTACTAAGTGTGATAAGTGTGAGAAGACCAATGGCTATCACGCCAAGTCTTGCGACAAGAAGCCCGACATTAAGTTGGAGTGAAAGTACTACCAGGTACAATCGTTACAAAGAAAATACAACGACTCCTTAGATGAGCGTGTAATAATCCCTGTATATTGCAACGGAAATAAAGCCCTTGCATTGATTGATCCCGGTTCAGAAATTTCATGTATATCCGACCGCTTTGCATTAATGAAAGACATTGAAAGGCGAACTCAAACTACTCACCTAATTTTAGCAGATGATAAAACTTCTAAGTGTGATACCATTGCCACAGATGTTAACATCTCCCTGGCCGATGATAATAATATCACGACTCAAGCTGTGATCGTTAAGGTGTCACAGAAGTACGACATTATAGTCGGAATGAGCGATTTGCTCTCGTTAGGGATAACCGTAACCGGACTACCCAATAACATAGATCCATTATAGGATCAATCAGATGATAATTGACTGAAACCATATACACCACCGTCAGACAGAGTCAAGAAATTAATTCCTGGCTTGCCGATTAGATAATGTACCTTATATTAGTAAATAAGAAGATAAAAATACGAAATTCAGCTTTAACAACAGATACGTCAGCCTTGACTTAACCAAGGTAGACTTTACATAGCTCAAATGTCCTTCAAGAAACTATGTTTACTGGAGACACGAAGCTGTAGTTATTCGATGGGATAATCGAAATCAATTACCAACAAACGCCAGTTAACTTAGCATTATTGGCAGTTGATCAACACAACTCTGACGGAACATTTAAGAAAGTCAGAGTATGTCTAGGTATGAGCCCATTAAATAAGTTATTGCCGACTCAAAGTTTTCATCTCCCTCCTTTCATATCCCACGTATAAACGAGTTACTGAGACGAATGGAAGGTGCTGCGGTGTTTACATCCATAGACCTAACACAGGGATATCAGCAAATGTAAATATATAAACCCCATCGTATGTACTTTAGTTTTACTTGGAAAGGTAAACGATACAGGTTTAGAGGTGCGCCTTTCGGGTTACACTCTTTACCAGCATGGAAGAAATGTTTGCCGACATGCCTAATGTGCAAGTCTACATAGACGACATAGTCATCTTTTCTAAAACTAAGGGCGAACATGCCGCATTAGTCAGACGAGTCCTCCAGAGACTCAACGAACAAACTTCAAGATAAACGAGAAGAAATGTCACTTCGCAATGAACAAAATACAGCTCTTAGGCTATCGTATATCTGGGGAAGGTATTAAAATCGACCCCGGTAAGGTGGAATATCTGTTAGATTGGCGGACACCAACTACAGGAAGAGACGTAAACAGCATGTGTGGATTTGTAAACTTCTTTTCTAATGGGGTACCACACTTAGCTGACTACCTTAAACCCTTTGGACACTTAAGATGTCATAAAAGTAAATTAGGAGACATGTGGACTAAGGAATGTGATGACGCATTTAAAGCGCTC